CATATATATATATTATTAATATTATATTTGTCCACAAATCTGTCCCGGTTAATGCACCACCATTTTTGTCAGACAGACTCCTCCATGCAAATCATGTTATAGCTCAGATGACTCGCTGTTGAAATGGGGGTGGGGTGGGGGGGATATCGGCTTGAATAAAATAAAATTGGGTAGAAAACAAAAGAAAACCCTCTTCATCATTTTGTGTGGGTTCAGCTCACATTGCATTAAACCTGTGAAATAAGGTATTAACCCCAGCAGACGGAGCCCTGCTCATGCCAGTGTGTTTACATTCTTTTTATTCAATTTGCAACGCAGCACTTACTGTAGCAGGTTTACCGAGAGAGCTTTACACGCTGACAAGAAATCTGCTGCACTGGTTTTGTTTTMCCACCAGCATGAGAAACAAGAAAACTGCTGACTTTGACACTGCTGTGTCAAAATCGAGCCTCGTCATCGTTCACCTCGGGTCGCTGCTTTACTCACATGTGGTGGGGGTGTAGGAGCTGTTACGAGGTGGCCCTTGCGTACTGGGTGGGGGCGGCATGGTAGGGGGCGTCAACCTGGACTGTGACTTGACATCCGCAGGTGAGTCGGGCATGGTTGAGCGCTTCCCAGTGCGATCTGAAGAAAGGAACAGAGGATGAGGTAAATATCAGGAGGTAGCTTTACCCAGMTGTTCACAGTAAGATCGTCTTTTTCTGTTTGCCCCCCAGGATTTAACTGATATTAACAAAGTTCGGGAAGATTAACAGCTGATCTGAGAACAAAAGCTCATCACTTTAGGTTCATGCAGAACATGCATGGATTTTTGCATCAGTGATTCTATAAGAAAGGAGAAAAAGAGGGAAGAAACTTCCAAGTCAAATTCCATGTCACCCTTTCTACTACKTTTTAATTCTACCCCACACTTTGAKTCTTATARATGAGGGAGAGGCATCCTGGTTCTTTTTGTGACAAAGCATAAGTTATTTTCCATATAAAAATATCTTTACTGGCAAAATCATGGTGAAGCTCAGTTTGACGTATTATATTTGATCAGGTATTACTAACAGTATTAAAACATATATTTTCATTTGAAAATATTTGACTCAACATAATGTTTTACCTCTAATGTATTCCAATGTATTGTATTTTGTGTAATGTATTTTGGTATTATTAAGGTTCATATATTTATACAGTGTTCGTGGCAGATCACTAGAAATTTTAGGAATTTTAGTGGCAGGTTTGATAGTTGTTTTTWCCCAACATATTTGGAGACAAACAAACAAAAAATGAAAAGAAAACAGCTGCTTTTCGTGACTTTGATTCAAGGTCCAAATAATGCCAGGAAATGGAATTTAGTCTAAATCTGCAATGAGTTCATTCCACCAGTGTCTGTGCTGCTCAGAATGACCACATACCTGTAGATCCTTCACCCTCAGACTGCAGCTCACTGTTATTTTTTATTTTTACATTTCTGAATACTTTAAGTTTTTGACCTTTATTTAACCAGGTAAATGCCATTGAGATCAAAGATCTTTTTTGCAAGGGAGGCCTGAAGGCAACCTGTTGGGCATGGTTTTTGGTCTGTGGGAGGATAACAGAGCACCCATAGAAAACCCACAGAAGCATGAGGAGAACAGGCAAACTCCACACAGAAAGATGCTGGATCTGAACCGGGGATTGAACCCAGGAYCTTCTTACTGTGAGGTTTCAGTGMTAACCACTGAGCCGTCACATGTGGTCAAATCACATCTGACCAGTGATTGCATATTTAACCTGTTTTCACCTTTGTGTTCAGCAGACAACAAACCACAGCAAGTGTACGGGAACAACAGCGAGGCATTATCTGTTCTTGCAGAGTACAACTCGTCTGAGTAGTAACTTATCTTGGCAAAAGTGGTAACAAACCTGAGTCAACAGTGTTATCAAGTCTCACTGTACAAAAAAAAAAGAGCATAGGGGAGGAAAGAGATGGAAAAGAGAGTTGAAGAAAACTTTACTTTGCTGCATGTGAATCACTGCAATCAGGAAGAAATGTATTCTACAAACAGGTCCTTTATTATGTCTATATTTTTTCACAGAAAACATACTTTAGCCTTTAATTATTCAGATCTATAGCAGTGAAATAAGTTTGTTTAAGCCTGAACGCTCTACTTTTCTGCAGYAGCAGAGCTGCTCCAGGACCAGGAGCCACGTTTTGGCTTTAAAAAAGCAGCGAAGCAAGAGATGGAGACGTCTACAAAATTCCAAATAGCGCCCTAAAGTGCTGTTACTGATTGACCATTTACGGCAGTTTTGTTTATCTTTAAGCCTACGCTGACCCTGAAGACAACAGGAGCATGATGTAACTGTGTGAAAGAATCAGGCTTGCAAACATCTTACATGAGAAAGAAACTCAAAACAAATGAACTCCCAAGCATCATGCAATAATAGCTAACTTATCCAGGTTTAAAAGATTCATTGCGTTAGCTTTGCTGTGGCTGAAATTTATTCTCTTGAATCAATTATAAATCAGCTGGATTTGTGTTCAAACACGGAAATTATTGAAACAAACTCACTAACTGACACTGGCGGTTTGACTCTCTTGTTTATTTGTATTTGTTATAGAAGAAAACTAATAGCATTAAATGTTATATGCAATATTATAAAGAGGAGAGAGACAAAATGCATAATTTCTACATATTGTTTTCATTTCACCGGGTGATTTATGGCCAAGTGTACATAAAAATTGCAATTCAATACATGGCTTAAACAAATGTTTGATGTTCTGAATTACAGCTGTCTCCAGTAAAACCCAAAGGATGCCACAAGGTTTTACACAGCAAGAAGTGGAGCGTTTTCTAATATAATACCATTATAAATCAACACTTGAAGCAGAATGTCTGAACTTTAGAAAACACTCGCACTTCACGCCTCCCCATTGGATGAGAGGATGAGTTCGGTTCCAGCTTGGCCAGTAACACCTGGGTCAGCATTTCTATTGGACTCCGATGAGAGAAACTAAAGCCTGACAACCTTTGAAACTCATCTCAGGTGATGGAGATGAAAGATAAAGAATGAATTAGCCTGACAGTCACACACACACACGCACACACACACACACACACACACACACACACACACACACACACACACACACCCACACACACACACACACA